ATAACTTTGGAGCCTCGAACATCGAACATCGCAGGAAGTTCATGTAAGTAGTACCAATGGCTTTTTCATTTGTTTTTATATAAGGAGTACAGCTTTATCACTACTGGACATGTCTCAAGTCGGAGTAATTTTATTTTGAATTTTTATTGAAGGCCCATACATTTTCTCGTACCATTCTCTCGCCATTAACGACGCAATGCACACGCGCACCGTGTATGACAAATGCAGACTGCAGTGTGTAGCCTGCAAATGTTATACACCAGCACGCGCGTCTGTTATTTAAACGTTTATTAACGGTGTAATTATTTTTATGTAATAGCTAACCTACATGACATTGCTTATGCATAGTTAACTTATGATGCAGGCACTATCATTCCTGAATAAGCAGGTATTCACCCCCGGTGTTTGTAATGTAAATTAATGGTGGGAATAGTAATTATATCTGGTGTATTATTTTTTTGGTAGTAATGGCAGTTAATAGTGAACAGTAGTTTATTACACAATCAGTGGAGTTAAGAATGAAACAATATTTTTTTCATTCATTCACTTCATTTGAAATCATTGGTCAACATAAAAGTGGTCCTGTAGCATCTGTGGGGCGGAGGGGAGGGGGGAAGTTGAAATGTACCCATTGCATCCCCTTACCCTTTGAGACAGACACCTCTCATTGACAGAAGCTCACTTGCAGAGTCTTAAAAGTGTTGATAGTGCCATTTTCACAAGCTGCTAAGTATAACTGTAAAAGTTTTGAACCCAGGAGTCATTTCAAAAGTAGTTTGAGGAGTGTTCATAACCAATGACATTACCGCTTAACTGACAGACAGCCAATATTGAGCAATCAGGTCTATAACCAGCGTATAATACCATCAAGTGACGTGATACAACTCACTTTGACCCAGAAGATGACTACCCCACAGGTTGTCACCGGGAACATCAGTCACTGTCAACAACAACAGTCCTACATGTATTCAGGACTAAGTTCACCTGGCCTATCAAACTCAACCTACTACCAAGTATACTTGATACAGAGGATTGCTGTACACACATAACACCAACCTCCTTTTGCAGAACACAAACACAAGTTTGATGCATTTGAAACTTAAAACCATCAGTGAACCAATTAGTGTGAATAGTCCTGGGACAATAAAAAAATACATAGCATATGATAATTGTTGTCAGCAGAGGCCTGATTCAGCTGGCTCCAGCAAAGTAAGAACAATGTACTTGCCAGTCAAAGCCTTTAGTAAACACTGCTCCTTACTGAAAGGGTTGTGTCAGAATACCCCCTCTCTACCCCACTAGTTTTGCCTCCCAGGCTTGGGCCACCCACCCACTGTTAGGGCAGTCCCTGGGCTTATCTGCCTGTGCTGACCGAGACGCCAAGCCCCCTACATTTTTGGAGACCGCACTGGCCTGAAGCGGGGAGAAGCGAAAACCTAGTGGCCACGTTTTAACGATTTCAGACAGATCTGTACTTAACAAATAAAAATACAATGTTATTGTTTGATTCTTACCCGTTTTAGGGTAAAACTCTTGGATTGTCATAAACATTCCTCCACTTAACACCCTTCCTTTTCTGGACAAATATTCAATAGATGCACTTGTATCTAATATAAAATTCTAAGCTATTCTTATAAAATATATACATATATACTATGATCTAACCTATATAATAATATGATAATAAATAGAATATAAAACAGATGTACATATAATATTAAATAATGAATAAATAATAAATAGTATATAAATTAAGTTAGCCCGCTTTCCATTTATGCCGAGTGTATATTATTTGAAGAATTCCTTGCAGCCAGATTTAAAAATGTGTATGGATTCTGGTTGCTGAAGAGTCGAAGGCAAACCGTTCCATAAGACCGCCTCACTATAACGAATACTATTTTTAAAATAATTGGTGCGGAGGAGAGGGACATCAAATTTATTAGAGGAATCTCTCAAGAATTAATTCGAAACACGGTTTACAAATCTATCCTGTAAATATTCAGGTGCTAAACCGCGAGTACATTTGTAAACCATGTTCACTGTGGGGAGGTCACGACGACGACAAGTTTCCGATTCAGTTAACGTCAATGGGTGGTCGCTTATAGTAGGCGGTCGTTTGCGAGAGGCGGTCGCACATGGAGGTTCAACTGTAGATTTGATTGTACTACTAAGTACCATTCCTGAACATTCCTTTACTGGCGGTAACAGCAGCAAAGGAAGTGGGTTTCCGTTTTTAATCTGTTTTCCCTATAAAGGTGTTAATGGGGCGGTAACTTTTGACGGTTGACACGGTTACTTAGTGGAAATTTAGTCCATGCGTTCAAGTAAATATTACCTTCCGTATAAATTAATAAATTAGTTATGATTAAGTCCGAAATGAAGATCAGCTGAAATAGTAAGATTTGAAATAACTGCACCTTGAAACCTTTTTGATAGGGTTAAATTTTAGGTTGTTTGACAGCTGATAGTTAACCGCATTGAAACCCTCGACTATTTGCTCGTAGACTGTGAGCAGTCTCTCTTTTTCCTCAGATTTATGCACCTATCAATGTAAACCCCGTGGGGGGGAGTGCGGGCAAGGGGTGGGGATTTGACAAATTTCAAAATTTTTTGATCAAATTCCCCAGGGTGGGAAACGAAAGGTCAATCAAAAGTGTCAAAAAGACCCCACCCCAGGGGAAAAAATCTAAACAAACAATACTATAATACTATATAAAACGAATAAAAGAACATTTCAAAAGTACGTTCTTACTACTCTTATTTAAGGTTAACGTAAGCTCCGTTAAGTTACTCGCTGTAATTAAGTATTTTCTCTCTTCACTAGCATTTCTTATTTTGAACAACCAAATCACTCCAGGAAGATTGACCGCGCTGTTATAATATTAATGAAACGTAAAATGCTTTATAACACTTGTTCAACATGTCAGAACAGGTCAGATCAGTGACTCGTAAAAAATCCTTTGACTTTCATGGTGGAATTCGATTTCAATCGAGTTTTACAATCAGATGGGAACTTAAAGATAAAAACTTTCTTAAAATAGAAATCATCTGTTTAGATGACAGTTAAAAGCATCGGATTATGGCGATTAAAACAAATGAAAACTTCATACCTTTCTCCAACCGCGTGACTTTCAGACAGCCTTGAGGAACAGACTTGGTAACCGCTTTCTGAATTGATACCAGGAATACCAGGCTTCTGTCGGTCAAAGTCAAATGTCCCGACCCCTGGGTCGCTTCGCACAATCAAAAGCCCGACATGGGGATAGCCTCAGGTATCAAATCCCCTCCCTTGCCCCCCCCCCCCCACGGGATTTACATTGATAGGTGCATTAGTAAAGGGAGTTCACGAGCGCGCGCCTCTCCCGTCTCGCGCCTTTCATCGCGCACGTGTCATTTTCGTGTCTCGCGCGTTTCGCTCGACGGACTGAGAAATATTGAGAGACTGCTCGTAGTCTTGGCTCGCAGATTTCGATCATCTTCGAGAAGTGTGTGATTGCTATTAGTATGGTAACAGCTTACATGCATGTACCTTATATTTTCCAGTAAGTTCCGTTGCAAGTGTTAAAGCCATGACGTACATGATGGACACGCCGCTTCCCATTACGATTACAGGAGCATATGTCGACTGTTTGGAAAGAGACGTTTGGGTCTGGAAGAAGATAATTAGACATCCAAAGATGACTGGCATCGAGGCCGCAAGAAAAGTCCACTGAGAAAGATAAAAGGCGTGAAAGTGATGATGAGCAGAAGGTACAAAACTTAGTTATAAAGCGTACTCTAACCTAAAGGAGCTTGTCACGAAATTAACTCAAAATTGGATCATTGTACGTGTCTGGGAAACTGCCCACCTACCCCTCCCCTAAGCCAACTTTTTGATTTAAGTGAGGAGTAGTGTTAATGTTGGCTTAGGGGAGGGGTAGGTGGGCAGTTTCGCTGATGGAAACTTAAGAAGAGCAAAACGGATTGCAATTGTGGTTTCTGAAAACTTGTTAGCCCAACAATTTTTCAAAGTTCATTTTTTGTTGTTTTTAACGTTTGATATGTATTGTAATGCTTGGGAGAGAAAATTTGTTTGACAAAAGGATGTGTTTTTGTCATTGACAATCAAATCAATCGATCAAAACCTTTATTTATAGGCGATGATGGTTAAAGCTTAGTAGCTCGAGGGGTCGTGTATAAGATGTATATTTGTACAAATTTTCAATTAAAATAAGTTAAACACTAAAAAATCTTAAAATACTTTTAAAAATTAACTCTTACTGTACAGGTTACTAAAATCAATATCCTTAATTGCATTCTGGTCATGAATACCAACTACCAAGGGATACTGCTTTGCGGCACTCTTCTGGTAAATGGTTCCATATAATTGTCCCTCTGTAGGCTATTGAATATTTCATGATATTTGTTATACTAAAAGATGGAATACGTATAAGTATCAGATGGCTTCTTCTCAAATTGTACGATGGTTGACAAGCAATTTCTCAAGTTTCATAACAAACAGGGATGCGTAATTGGGGTTATGAACCAGGCTACCGCTCCACTCGCTTCTCTCGCCGATATTTTTCCTATTTGACCCCTTTTTTTTTGCCTTTTTCCCCCACTGGGGATCCTGGTCCCAGCCTATATTAGAGACTGCTCGCGGTCTAGGTACACTTTAGTACCTTGCTTTTGAATAACAAATGAGTTACTTTTTTTTCGTCCAGGCTAAAACGGTTGTGAAAGTTGCTTGTGATTTTGCAGATTGCATTTTCCGTTCGCGATTCAAATTTTATCTGCTGATGATACTAGTAGACCTTAACAGCAACAGGAAGCTGCAGACCTGATCGGTTTGAAAATGCTAAATGGTGCATTCGACAGGTCGGAATTAAGTACATGGAAGTTAGGCGTCTGAATCAATTAGAAACGGTTAGTTCGTTTCTTTCCGCCTCGACTTAGGAGCCCCTTTTACATACCTTTCTTGCTTTTTCACGAAAGTCGTCATTCCGCGGACTGTCAGTGACTCTGTTTATGAAAACACTCAAAAGCCTAAAAGTCGCTCATTATACATTACGTAATCAAAAAACCCTTCTGTACATAACTCGTTTGATTAGTTTGATGTCACAATCCATCCTCAGTTAATTCGGTCTACCGTAGCTCTAGAAAGATGAGAACATTGACATGATGTCAACTAAAGGGTTTAACCTTCTAAAAGGAAAGGTCTATTACAGCACACAGTTGACAGTAAAGTAACCGCATTACCAAGGTTGACTTTGTATGAGAATCTGTTGATTGGGTAAGAAACAAGTGTCCGTTGTCCACCTCAAAGGGTGTCCGTGGTAAGTGGGTTGGGTTAACAGAAAATGTAAGGGCTTTCCCCGGAGACAAAGAGAACTGTCGAAATAACGAGGCGTCCGTATTAAGCGGGTGCCCGTAAAGCGGGTTTCGAATGTACATGGCGTACAAAGAAAGTTCGGCTTCTGAAACCTCCCTCAGCCGAGATGAACCCATTTCTGGGGTTCTTTACAACAGTATTTCTTTAAAGGAAAATAATCTTAAACAAATCTGTGTTTAGGAGCACGGGAAGAGAGACAAGCTTTTCAACCGAAAGATGCAAAACCGTTGTGCAGTCAGTAGTGCCTCAAATACATATTCATGACATGGGGCCGTCTATTGTGTTTATGAAACCTTGAGCGCTTACCATTTGTATGGAAAACCTGGAAATTCCGGGGAGAATTCAAAGGGAACGGTTCACCCTGGTGGACTTTTTCCGGAAAAAAAGTAATACCTTTCGAGATATTACCTTTTTCCCGTTGTCACCGAAACGACCGAAATTTTCTGTACCATTTGTTGGGATTACCAGTGCCAGGCGTCAAGTTGAGAGAAAGCGAAAAAATTACCGGTATTTTGTAAATGGCACAATTCAAGCCCGTTCCCGTTTTCGGTTCCAAAAAAATACCAGTACCTACAAAATGGTAAATGCCATTTGTCTGAAAATGGGCCACGCATTTTTTTAATTGGGCTCGTACCAGGGGTATGTGTTTGCTCTCCGGGGGGGGGGGGGTGACTCCCATATGAAAAAGGCGGGGATGCTCGTCGTCTCGCTTAGGGGTGTAAATTTCCGATTTTGGTCTCATTTAGGGTGTTCTGGGCAAAACGCCATTATATTTAGCCGTTAAGGTGATTCCTTGGTTTTGCACTGCGCATCTCTTACTGCGCATAACAAGATGGCCGCCGTAAAAAAAGGATTAAATTAACTGCAAAAACCATGGACGAAGATCCTGCTAGTTGTAAACGTTGGATCTCTAGAAAAGAGATCAAATCAGCCAAAATATAAAGAAACAAGAACGAGAAGTCCGAAGACTACTGCAAAGCTGATTTAAAACAACGTGTATTGTTTTTTATAACAATATTTCGGCTGGCCATACCAACCTTCTTCAGGTCTACACAAGTGTTACTGAACTTATGTAGCAATCAAAATATTATATAGATGGAGAATGTCGCAATAAAAGGGAGAGGCGGAAATGACGTACAACATAAAAACTGGAAAGGAAAAATACTAAGGATATGGATTACAATAATTCGTCAAGGCGGTTTAGGCCTAAACCGCCGTTTCCTTTCCGGTTTTTATGTTGTACGTCATTTCCGCCTCTCCCTTTTATTGCGACATTCTCCATCTATATAATATTGTGATTGCTACATAAGTTCAGTAACATCTGTAAACCTGAAGAGGGCTGGTATGGCCAGCCGAAATATTGTTATGAAAAACAATACACGTTGTTTTAAATCAGCTTTGCAGTAGTCTACGGACTTCTCGTTCTTGTAAAAAAAGGGCACGTGAAGTAACTCTATTAAAATGAAGTTGACTGAAGAGAAACGCTATTGGAATTTTTGCTTGCTGTTGTTTCTTGCCGAGGTGAGACTCAATGTGTTGGGAATGTGCATAACGTAAGCAATACCCGTGTTGCTGAGTTCGACTTCCTCTCAGAGAACCTCGATGGTGGATGTTTAACTTGTGTTACTCACTTTGATTTTCATTTAAACGCTTTCTTTATCACATTGTGTCCTAAATGTGATATCTCGAGGTAAATTCTCTAAAAACGGATTTTTTAATACTTTCTTTCCCCTTTCACGTACATTCTATTTTGAAACTCGCCCCAGTCCTCTCTCAAAAATCGGAGAAAATGCATTTGGTGCGCACTTGCGGGCGTTCGGCATTGTTTAGGGTTAAAACGTCATCATTACCCAACGATTCCTCGCGGCCCCTTTTTAACCAAATCGAGATTTTTTTTTTTCTTGTATACTAACTTCACATTTTAACTGTACGTACTTCCCTTTATATACGGCCCGGGCTACTTGGATGTCTCCTCGGGATTTCGCCTTCTGGGCGAAATCCTTTCGGCGACAATTATGAAATTACGTGCGAACGACGAAGGCAACTTTCGCCTCTCAGTTAATCTACACTGCTTCACTAATGACTGTCCCTGATGCAGTAACACGCGCGGCTCAAAGCCTCCTGTTCTCGTTTTTTGTGGAAAAATAAGAAAGATAAAATTAAGCGAAATGTTGTATGCCAGCCACTTGAAAATGGTGGCCTTAACTTTATAAATTTTCATTAGCGATTTAATGAACTCGAATGATAACTTCCTAACCTTCGAAGAATTTCAAAATAGATTTGAAATTAAAGCTTACTATTTGCACTTTTTTCAGTTAATTGCTGCCATTCCTCCGGATTTGAAACGAAAGGCATTTGGTTCCACCGTACCTGATCTGCTTGGAGCAACTTCAGAGTAACCAAATTCCGCTGTAAAAATTATTACAGTCTGTTCATCGAGAAGCTTGTTTCAGAACCCTCCGCAGTAAGGGCTTGGAAAAAAAGCTTTTCAGAACTTCCGAATTGGAGTGATTGTTTTGTGAATATATACAAGTCCTCGAAAGATAATAAGCTTAGACAATTCACCTTTAAGGTTGTGCACAGAATAGTCACGACAAAGAAAGAACTACGAAATATAAATTAGCCTCGGATGATAAATGTCCTTTCTGCCTTAATCCAGATTCAATTGAACACACCTTTTTATATTGTCAAGAGTCAAAGGAATTCTTTTCCAAAACTTTAAGGTGGTTTAATGAATATCACAAAGAGAACGTCCAACTTTCAAACAAGCAAATTTTATTTAACACGTTCGATGACTCCCTTCCAATGCAAATGCCAATTTCAACTCAACGCAAACTTCGTCTATTGGTTTTACTACAAAAGAAATACCTGTATACTTGCAACAACATTGTAACGAAACCTAATTTAGAGGAATTTTTACCTAAGCTTTTTGAACAATATCGCATTGAAAATTGTTGCAAACAATATTAAATATGTGTGGCAACTGACAGGTTTTTTTTTCCAATACTTTTTAGTTTTATTGTAATTTGTTTTGTTACTTACTGACATATTTATTTACTTATTTATTTTTTACCTTCTGCTGTGTATTAATGTTGTTAATTTGTTGTCAATAAAAAATAAAATAAAATACATGAAATTAAGAGAATAATAATTTCCGCTAAATAACTTTCGTAACCATAAAGGTACAGGTCTGCAACTCGTCGTAGTAACAGAGCAGTAAAATTATATGAAAAATACTTTACAAATCCAACCGACCTAGCAGAAAGAGTCGAGAAGTGCCACGATAAACATCATGTTTAATTTTTTAGCTGATAAAGAGTGAAACCAATTGATAAGAATAACTTAGACAGCTATACTGCCTATCTTGTTCATAAATCCATGAATCTGCTCAGTTTGGCTCGATTTGAAACAGACTGGCTTATTATGATGTTCCAATGTCATATTATGCTTACAAGAGCATTGTGGGTTGCCACTTCTCGCTTCTTACTAATTGTTCTTCCAGTCAAAGGCGCTTGTAAATTTCCTGATGCTTCAAAGAAAAGCCTAGCAACTCCTGTTAGTAACTTAGTAGCGATTGAATTGCAATGATCAGCTGTGTTGTTAATCCGCATGAAAGCGAGGCAAAATGACCTACATGAACTAACATCTTGCGAGATTTCAACCCCATTCTGAGTGAAATAGGTCTGCTGAATGGGTTTCGAACACGATTTTGCTCCATGTTGCCATTCTTTTAACCAACTGATATGTGAATTCATTAACACTACAGAAAATCAATTTCAATGGGCCTAGCGTTTCCCCTGAAGTGATTGTAGGAGAGACATAAATATGGACTTAGTCTTAAAAAAAAAAAAATGTTTAAAAAAAGACGGAATATGGACAACGTTGGCGTTAAAAAAGAGGAAATTAAAGTTAAAACGTTAAAAAAAATTATTGAATACGTTTCGGTCTTCACGACCTTTATCAGTTACAAAATAGCTCGTATGGAAAACTCTTAAATACAAGGAACAAAAGTTACTTAACAATGACCATTGAACGATTATCTAACGAACTGAAACGCAAAAGAACCATAGCTCTTTTAAAAGACTATCGCACCGCGATGACAAGGGTGCACCTTAAACCTAATTTATTTCTTCCCTCAGATACCGACGAATGCACTACCAAAACCGACAACTTTGACGTGAATGCCGCGTGTACTAATACTGTTGGTTCCCACGTGTGTGCATGCAAGTTTGTTTCCTCCGGTGATGGAATCACGTGCTATGGTAATTATTAAACATATAAAATTAAAAGTTAGGGAATACATGTTTATTGTAATTTCTTTTTATGCTAGTTGTATGTACATGAAGACTGAAGTTTTGTGCGGCTGATGCGTACTCCATGATTTATATCTTTTATTTTATTTTACATTTATATCTGACTGGATTTGTAAAAACATGGCTACAGAAATCTCTCTTATATACCTTCTGACTGAGTCTTGTAGTGGAGCATTTTTTGTTTTCATCGTTACTTTTTATTTATTTAATCGGTATCGGATGGGCTACGGTAGATAGACTTTGATGAGTTTTTCACTGACTATTAACCTATTACCCCACCCCCCGTCCCAAAAAAAAATTATAACTTCGCATAATT